TAAATTTAGAAGCTTAGCCACCTATGTATTAATGTCACTTTGTACTAGAGTACTTGGCTCACGATGTAAATTTAGAGGTTTAGCCACCTATGTATTAATGTCACTTTGTACAACAGTACTCGGCTCACTGTGTAAATTTAGAAGCTTAGCCACCTATGTATTAATGTCACTTTGTACAACAGTACATGGCTCACGGTGTAAATTTAGAAGCTTAGCCACCTATGTATTAATGTCACTTTGTACTAGAGTACTTGGCTCACGGTGTAAATTTGGAGGTTTAGCCACCTATGTACTAATGTCATTTTGTACTAGAGTACATGTACTTGGCTCACGCTGTAAATTTAGAGGCTTAGCCACCTATGTATTAATGTCACATTGTACTACAGTACTTGACTCACGGTGTAAATTTAGAGGCCTAGCCACCTGTGTATTAACGTCACTTTGTACAACAGTACTCGGCTCACTGTGTAAATTTAGAGGTTTAGCCACCTATGTATTAATGTCACTTTGTACTACAGTACTCGGCTCACGATGTACATTTAGAGGCTTAGCTACCTAAAAGTATGTATTAATGTCACTTTGTACTACAGTACTTGGCTCACGGTGTAAATTTAGAGGTTTAGCCACCTATGTATTAATGTCACTTTGTACTAGAGTACATGTACTTGGCTCACGCTGTAAATTTAGAGGCTTAGCCACTCATGTATTAATGTCACTTTGTACTACAGTACTTGGCTCACGGTGTAAATTTAGAGGCTTAGCCACCTATGTATTAATGTCACTTTGTACTACAGTACTTGGCTAACGGTGTAAATTTAGGGGTTTAGCCACCTATGTATTAATGTCACTTTGTACTACAGTACTTGGCCCACGGTGTAAATATAGAGGTTTAGCCACCTATGTATTAATGTCACTTTGTACTACAGTACTCGGCTCACGGTGTAAATTTAGAGGCTTAGCTACCTAAAAGTATGTATTAATGTCACTTTGTACTACAGTACTTGGCTCACGGTGTAAATTTAGAGGTGTAGCCACGTATGTATTAATGTCACTTTGTACTACAGTACTCGGCTCACGGTGTAAATTTAGAGGCTTAGCCACATATGTATTAATATCACTCTGTACAACAGTACTTGGCTCACGGTGTAAATTTGGAGGTTTAGCCACCTATGTATTAATGTCACTTTGTACTATAGTACATGTACTTGGCTCACGGTGTAAATTTAGAGGCTTAGCCACCTATGTATTAATGTCACATTGTACTACAGTACTTGGCTCACGGTGTAAATTTAGAGGCCTAGCCACCTGTGTATTAACTTCACTTTGTACTACAGTACTTGGCTCACGGTGTAAATTTAGAGGCTTAGCCCACCTATGTATTAATGTCACTTTGTACTACAGTACTTGGCCCACGGTGTAAATTTAGAGGTTTAGCCACCTATGTATTAATGTCACTTTGTACTACAGTACTCGGCTCACGGTGTAAATTTAGAGGCTTAGCTACCTAAA